TTGACTGGTGATATTTACACGATCAACTTAATAAGGTCGGGACAATCCTCCCCTAACAAGTCGGTTTTGTTAGGTTGAGTTAGGCCCAATATGCTTTCTAATATGGTATCAGAGCAAGTTCAGTTTTACAATGTTGGGTGCACCCAATATTGATTTGTTCACAATAGTTTGGCATGGTCCATGCTGTGCGTGAGAGAGCGTATTAGAGTCTCACATTGGTTGGTGATATTTACACGATCCACTTAATTATAGTGTATAATTGTTACCATAATATATTTAATTAATAAAATATATTTTAAATTATTTCATATATAAAATTTAATTAATATTTGATTTTTGAAGTTTTAAACAATATTTCTTAGTTTTGAAAGGGGTCATACTTAATCTCTTAGATATGAACTCTTTCCGTAATTTTGTAAGTTCCAAACGCCCAGTATTCTTGAATAATATTAGTATGGAAGCTTCACAATCTACGTATATATTCTAGAAGAATATTACATATTCTTCTTTGAAAGGCACAATTTTAATAACTTAAAACTTAGAATATGATAATTCTAAAACAATATTATATGATCTAATGTTGCGAAGTGATATATGTGCAAATGCTGCCTTTACTGTTATTAGAAAGAAGAAAGAACAGAGTAGCCGATTTCTAAGAGTATTTTGGTATTCTTAGTATTGTGATCGTGGGGCCCATAATATTATGATTAATTATGTTTTAACATTGATCAACCTGCCCTTATACTGTCGTTTAATATTATGATTAATTAATGTTTCGTTTCATGTCAGATTCATTACTTGCTTTTTTTTTTAATTCTAACTTTTATACTTAATTCTCTACTCTCTTTTTTCGTTTTGGTATTTTTCCGACTGAGTTTTTAACGAGACAATTATTTTCAAAATAGTCATCAAGTGGAAAAAATAATAAAATAATTAATAATGAATGAGTAGTTGGTACTAACTAGAAAATCAGATGACTTTCTACTTCTTATTTTATTCAAATTGTAACTCTTATTAAAATCATATATATATAAAGGTTATTTTATAATTAGAAATATACTTCAGTTTTGACTCTCTTAATTCTTTCTTTTTTTTTTTTTTTATTATTAACAATTTCTACATTATAGATTATTATGAATTTAAAATTAAAATCAAATTTTTTGGTATATCTTAACTTATTAAATTTAATGAATATAATGTATTTCTATTTGAAATTAAACAAGTTATTTATTGTGTCACAAAGAGAAAATTTGATTTTTGTTTTTATTTTTTTAAATATTGTATCCAAACTACAATTTTTGTAGGGTTTTATTTTTTAGAATTTGTATGGAGAGATGCTTCGAGTGCAAACTTAATGCGAAAACAAGAAAATGTTGCGAGGATTAAAATAAGAAAAGAGTTCATATAAGGAAATGCTTGAAGTGACGATATTGTTATGTCATTTATAAAATCTAATTAATTTTTTTAAAATGTAGTCCTTAACATGTATTTATGAATTTTTTGTACTTTTGATGATACTTTGCACATATTGAATATGAATTTTTGAAAAAATAAAATAAAATAATTCATGAGATCGAAATCTATTCAAATTCTTCCAATTATGGAAACCTTATAAATCCAAGTTAATGGAGACGCCTCAAACTTAAAAGAACCTATTAGAATCCATGTTAGAGACTCCAATATCTAATGGAATAATCTAAAATCTAACTTGGATAGATTTATATGGATTTTTAAAATCCGTCAATCTAAGCTTAAGACGACCACATATAGATTTCGATACATGTTCATTTTTTTTTTTTATCCTTTGAGAGCTCAAATATGCGCTTGACAATTTACCGGTGGTACTGTTAGATGAGCTGTTACTTGGGCGTGCATGCAGAGAGAATGTGGTGGTGGATTTGGAGCAACCGCTGCTATGTTGATATTATTCAAGATGATATTAGTGCAAGGAACGGTATCGCTGCAACTGAAGTTGATACTAGCATTCTTGCAAATGGTTGTTCCTTGGATTCCAGTGTATGTCACGTCACTAACTTTGACAGCCAATGCGGCATTCTGTCAACAAAGGTATAAATCAAGAACTACACCAAACATGATTGTTGCTCAAAGGATTTTGCCATTTCCACATCATTTTTTAACATCTTTGTTGACAGATAGTGCATTGGCAAAATTCCATTGGCTGCAAAATTAGCTTTCTGATTAAACTGTTCAATGTTTTGTCAACAAAAATATGTATATCAAGAAGTACACCAAGCATGATTGTTGCTCAAAGGATTTTGTCATTTGTACATCATTTTTTAACATATTTCTTGAAAGATGGTGCGTTGGCAAAATTCCATTGGCTGCAAAACTGGTTTTTTGTTCAAATTGTCAATGACACAATACCACATGGCATTTTGTCAACAAATGTGTACACCAAGATGTACACTAAGCAAGATTGTTGCTCAAATACAATACCTCACCTCCCATTCCAAAAGAGAAGAAAATCACTGTAAAAGCTTGGGTGAAGTTGCTTACTTTGGTGGGCGGGCATACTCTGCCATTGCAATAAAACTGGTTTATGATAATAGGGTTATCAACAGCTATTAATGTTATGTCTGAAAAGCTTATGTCCCTTGCAAATCCAGAGCCTCCCTACATAAGAAGAAACAAAAATACACGATAAAATGCTTTACTTGGAAAAATGTTATTATATTTGACTCCATTTCATAATTTCCTCGGCACTTGTCAGTTCTAACCTGCCATGTTTTGATTCTTACTCCATTTTGAGTTCCCTTAAAACTACATTTGTTTACATGTATTCCTTGTACTTCATCATGCGCTCCATTTAGTCCTAAACTTCCAACACTGCCAAAAGAGAGTATAGTCGAATAGATTCAAATTTTCATCACTTTCCGAGTAATGAAACACAAAATATATTTCATCAAGTTATAATATTCAATCGTTGGAAACAAACCTTATTCCATGTCCAGGACCGCAAGCAACTTGGGTTATGTTAACAAAGCTTCATGGGGGTAACTACCGCTTACAGTCATCCCCTTTTCCCAATACAAATAAGATAATTTAGAAAGAAATATTAACAAAAAATCAATGTAGAAGAGAAAGACAGAAAAATGCACATGGAATAAAATTTTACCAGTTTCCACTGTGCAGTCACGTATCTGAATGCTGGTGGAAAAGCTTATATCAATTCCATCAGTGTTGGGACTTTTTTCAGGGGCAATGATATGAAGTTTTTCAAGGTTTACACCGTTGCATCTATTTATTGAAACATGATTTTTTTGGCTGTTTATATGTTTCAGTCCACTCACATAAAGATTGTTACAACTAGAAAATTTTA